TCAGGCCTCTGCTATATCATATTCTTATTGGTGGGATTGCCGATGAAGCAAACGTATGTTTGCTGTAGTAGTCTCGAAACCCTACTTTAATAAAATAAGAGCAATGACAGATATTAGCCTACCTATATTTGGGCCTGAACACCAAGTTTAGGAACGATCGGACACAAGCGTTTTATTTTTTGGCGTCTAAAAATAAGGTGCCTGAATTGTGAAAATCGCCTATTTATTAGTACGATTTGTCCTCAACTTGGATAGTTAATCAAAATAGCAGATATAATATAAATAAAGGTATTGTATCTAATGATGGACTGTCCTAGGCTTGAATACTTGGAATTTTTCGATCGGCTTATAAACAGAGAATAGCATAATTTATTATTTAGAACCAAGACCGAAATAGGGAAGGAGACGAGATAAATCCACCTTTGCGCTGATATTGCAGGGTCTTTTATCCACATCTTCTTCCTTCATCCTATTGTCAAACTTTGACACTCAATGAATATCATGCGTTCATAAATTTTGGGATGTGCATATGATAATAATTTAATAATGGTTTCCATCAAGCCAATTATGGCATAAAAGCAGTTTCTAAATAATGGAAAATTGAGATTTGTCCTAATTTATGGATGTCCACTAATCACAGTTTTAGGAAAAGCCGTCAGCAGAAATCCTGTCAATATTTTGGACATTTTGTCAAACAAATTTCATCCTTATTTTGGAGATCTAGATGAAAACTCAACCTATAGGGAGGCTTAGCAAAAAATGCAAATCTCTACACGAAATGAGAACAAAGGAAATTTCAGACCAATTCAATGCGTGCTCTGGACATGTCAGCTATTCCAAGTAGTTTGGATGAAGCCGATCAGCCTCGAGTCATACTGGCCTGGGAGGATAAGCCTGCCAGAGAAGGTATCTACAGAAAAGATTAGTTGTGTTTATCTTTTCGTCTTGTCTTAAGCCGCTAGATATTGAATGCTGGGATCGTCTAATCTTTCCAGCTTGATTGTCCTCTGTTGAAAGAGGTTAATTATGTGTATTTTCCATTGTATCAACCGCTTGTCATTTGTACAGATTCGCCCTCACTCTTCAAAAGAGCACCTGGCAGTTCGCCATCAAGAGTAATGCCGTTTTTTGCATTAACCCGTCTTCACAATCTTTATACCTTCACCGGTTCAATGAAGCAGAGTGCAGTTGGAAAAGACATGCTCTGGCCAACAGCTGGCTGGAGCGATTAGCTAGAAAAGGAGTGTAACGGAAGAAATCTGAGATGACACAAAGTGAGGCGGGGAGAAAATTGAAGTAGAAAGAAATGAAAATGGGTGAAATGAAAATAAAGCAGCTGGCTGGAAAAATAAAATTAAGGAGGAAAGGAGGCGTAGGCGGGGCTTGAAACGTAAGATGTGGGAAAAATTAATACTTAAAGGAGAAAAGAGTAATGAAATTAAAAAAATACTAACTATTGTGACACGGCTGTGTGGCATGCAGAAAGAAGAGATAAGAAAGGGCAAAACGAAAAGCCCCGTAAACAAACATCCACAAGCGCAGGAGAGCAAAATACATACAGCCGTAAAAGATGCATTAGGTCAGATATACTATGCCTTGGCAAGGCCTGTGAATAGAGTCAAATAAATTACTAAAAATGAAAATATGCCGTTTGCCAAAACTAGCAAGGAATGTTTGCGTCATGAATCAGGCCAGTGGACATAATCCCTCGTTGCCGCGAGCTGATCTGCCCACTCTTAAATGAAAGGAATAGTTTAACTCGCCTGAAGCTCTTAAATACTCCCGATGGTAACCAATAAGGCAGTATATTAGCTCAAATACAAGGAAGTGACAATACCACTGGGTCAGGGTTTACATGTGAATCGAAAAGTCATATTAATTTCCGCCAGAAATTCGATAGCCCAATTGCCTATACCGATAATGGCAAACCAAATGAAATCAG